TTGAGTGTACATCCTACCCCAGGGCTTGATCTCACAACTCTGAGATCATGATCTGAGCCAAAATCAGGAGCTGGACACTTAACTGAATGAGCCACCCAGGCACCCCAAGTTATCGTTAGATTCAAGAGCAAAGTGTGAAGAAGCCTATGCCAACCTCTCCTCTAGGATGAGAGACCACACGAAGAGGGTCTTGTTGATGGTGGGCACCAACCACCAGGCATGCACTTGAGGCCATCTTGGACTATCTGGCCACCGGTAAGCCTCCAGATGACTGCAGTTGTGTGAGCAGCCCTAGGTGAGACCATTAGCAGAACTGCTCAGCTGAGTTCAGCTCGGATTGCCAACTTACAGAAGTAAGAACACATAATGTAATGGACACAGAAGTTGGTATCAGAAATAGGCTGCTGCTGTAACAAAAACTTAAAATTTGTCATTGGCTTTGGAATTTGGCTGCATGAAAGCAGATACAGAGGGGTGAAGAAATTTCAGCTTAAAACATGGTAGGGGAGGGACCTCCTGCCAGGTTCTGGAAGAAGCCTATGTGGTTATGTGGTATGAGAACCATTGACAAAAATGCTATCATGGTAACTTGGGAGACAGACCATGAACTTATGGATCTGGTTGAGGAGGGAGGATTCCCTGATCTCTGATCCTACCCCCAACCTTCTTCATGACTGCCCTGTGGTGGTCCCAGAAGAGTCTGGTGGTTGGTGAGAAGCCCCTTTGTGTCTGATGCTCCCAGATTCTCCTCCCTCACACCAGCCCATACCTGGTCTTTAGCAATTAGCTAAAACTTCTAGCAGAAATCTCCACCTCTTGTCTGGTGGCACTGTCTTCATCCTGTGCTACAGGTGAGTCAGTGCGCCTATCCATCTCTCTTCTAGATTTGTGGCTAATGGTTTGTCTGTGACCTCAGCTCTCTGATGGGTTCAACGAAGTTATGTTTTTGTTGATTATTCAGCCTTTTCCTATGCTGTGGTAGTAGCATTTCCTGGCAGATTTCAACATCCAAGGTGGAAGCCAGAAACCAAGATCTTTCCTAAATCATATGTCTTTTGGGAACTTATTATTTATGATGTCACCTTCCTCTTTTCTGTAAGTTCCCTTAAAGCAGTGATCACATAGCGTTTGTTCAGTGCAACTTCCTTTAATAAAAGAACATAGGCCTTCATCATGCTTGCTGAGCCTATGTGAGTTTATAATGGAGCAGCTGCTCCCTGGTAACCCATCAGGCTGCAGGAGCCCATGCGCTGCTTCCTCTCACCAACACTGAGTCAAAGCCATGGCCTCTGAAAGTGGTTACCACCTAGCAGTCTCCACGCTGAGTGCAGACAGCACAGTGCCTGGCATTCGTGGGGAATTAACTACCAGGCACGTAGGCACTTTCTAGGCATCTGGGTCAGTTTGAGGCTGTACTTGCAGACTTAGATGGTTTCTCCTCAAATTCCTTTCCTATGTGTTACCAGGCACCTAGCGAGTCTCTCTATCCCAGTTGTTTTCTCTGCACCCTCTCTAGTTATACAAGAGAGCAATGTAACCACATGATTTCACTCATATGAGGAGTTTAAGAAACCAAACAGATGAACATAGGGGAAGGGAAGGAAAAATAAAATAAGATGAAAACAGAGAGGAAGGCAAACCATAAGAGACTGTGAACTCTAGGGCACAAACAGGGTTGCTGGAGGGGAGAGGGGTGTGGGGGGGAAGGGTTACTGGGTGATGGGCATTAAGGAAGGGACTTGAAATAATGAGCCCTTGGTGTTTCACACATATAAAAATTCATTGAGAGGGGGACTACCGATCTATGCCCTTCACACATTTCACTGAATGTGTCTTATTACCTCCACTGCCCAAATGATGTGAAAACTATTTACCCAGCTGGAGAATCTTTTCTGTTATTTTTGCTTTCCCCCCAGATTGCTTTTGTGCTATCCTGATAAATGAAAGAAAAAAAGGGAAATAAGAAATAAGACTTTATTTTTATTAGTTTCTTAGGGAAAAGAGGTCAACACTTGGGTAAAAGGACGGAGTACTTATGTGGGGATTTTTCATTTTTCTCCCCATGTGATTGCAACTGTCTCTCAGAACAATGTATTACTTAAAATATAACCCATGGGAAATTTTACTAGTTACCAAGCACATTTAGATATAGCCTTAAGAAAAACACACACTGGCAACAGGCCTCTGGGAGGAGAGGACGATATATGGCCTTGAAGCAGAGCAGCTGGGAATGCCCGGCCCGCTCAGGGAGGAATGCGGCTTGCTTGACCTTAGCTTTGTATCAGTCTCGCTCCTTTAATCATGGACCCATTATTGGGGCATAACACCAGCACTCTAGGGAGAGGACTCCTGAAAGAGGAAGCAATTTTCTTTCTTTCTTTTTTTTTTATGAAAGAGGGAAGCTTTTTTTTTTTTTTTTTTTTTAAATTTGACAGAGAGAGAGAGATCACAAGCAGGCAGAGAGGCAGGCAGAGAGAGAGAGGGGAGGAAGCAGGCTCTCCGCGGAGCAGAGAGCCCGACGCAGGGCTCGATCCCAGGACCCTGGGATCATGACCTGAGCCGAAGGCAGAGGCTTTAACCCACTGAGCCACCCAGGCGCCCCGAGGAAGCAGATTTCTATTATGGTCTAGCTCTGGGCAATGGCAGACTGAACAACTGAGGAATTTCTCCTTTAGAATTTACCCGTTCTGCTGGAGAGGTTATTGTTTCCTTCCTTCCTTCCTCCCTCCCTCCCTTCCTTCTTTCCTTCCTTTCCTTCTTCTTGTCTTTTAAAAAGATTTTATTCATTTGAGAGAGCAAACATGAGCAGAGGGGAGGGCCAGAGAGAGATGGAGAAGCAGACTCCCTGCTGAGCAGGGAGCCCTACTTGGGGGCGCTATCCAGGGACTCCAAGATCATGACCCACACCAAAGTCAGATGCTTAACCAACTGAGCCATCCAGGTGACCGAGGTTGGTTTTTAAGTTTTGCAAATGGCATCAGCAGTCTGCATATATTTTGTCTCCTTTCTGGTAGCACCTGAGGTACTTTGAGGGCTTGTGGCTGTTGGTAACTGGTTCCTCAGGGAGTCCCAGGAGATGGAGAGGAGAGGTTGAGCCCAAGACTCCATGCAAAGTGGGGGAGCCTGGTCTGGGGAGCCTCCAGAATTCTGCCAGAAAACTGGGGGCTGCAGGACCAGAGCCACCTAGTGTGGAGGCAGTGGCCATATGGATAAGAGTTGTGTTGGGGTTTGACTCCTTTCATTCACCACTCTTCTTGCCCCAGGGCTGTCTGTGCTGCTGCTCTTGCCATTGGGAGCTGCAGCCCTGAACCCTGGAGGTGAGCCTGGCCAGCTGGCTCCATGAGTGATGGAGGGTATGCCAGCCTGGGCTCTGTGTTCTTTCACTATGAAGGGAGAGCCAGGGATAGGAGGCTTATTCTGTGAATGAACCTCTTCCTCTTTCTCTGGAGATGAGAGAAACTTTCTTCCTCCTCAAATACCTAAAGTTTCCTGAATTCTTCCTTTTCCAACAGCAGCTAACCTTCCCCTCCTCCACTCTCTGGTTCCCAGCTGGCAGCTGGCATCCTGCATTCCCTGGGGCTTTTGACCACAGTTTCCATCCCCAGTGTCTGTGGTTGGAGGTGCCCTTCTGACTCCATAGCTCTCAGTGCCCCTTCCTGTTGCCGTTATGCTGATTCATATTTCCCTCTGGGGAGATCTTCAGCAATCCCATGATGGGTTGTAAAGGTACAGAGGCTTGAGGGTGTTGGAGGGGGACCTCCAAGATTGTGGGACATTCAGTCCTCAGTCCTAGGAGCAGCACAGAAGCACTTTGTCAAGAGAATATGGGCCAGAGGAAAAGTGGTGGGGAAGGGGCAGTGCTGGCATGTTGCCAGGGAGATGCAGCGTGAATATCTCTGGCTTGTAACTAGAGGGCTTGTAACTTCTGTCCCTCCCTCCCTCCCTCTTTTTCTCCCCTAACCCCCTTCTTTCCACATTCAGAGAAAAGATTATATGGGGACACAGGAAGAAAGGTGGCCATTTACAAGCCAAGAGAGAGCTCTCACCAGAAACCAACACTGCCATCACCTTGGCCTTAGAATCCAGCCTCCAGAAACAGTTTGAGAAAACAAATTTCTGTGGCTTAAACCTCCTCATTAATAACCTATTACTATGCAGCACTCACAGACTGATACACAAGAAAATGGAGAAAACAAAGAAAATGTAAAAAATGCAAACAAAGAAAATTACCATAATTCTATCACAGACACTAGTGAAATATTTGGAGGTAATTTTTCCTCATCTTTTAAAGCATATAAAGAATATTTTCTTTTATCAATGAGTGTGAATGTCAGACTGTGTTGAGTATTGCATGAACAATGAATCTTGGAACACTGAAAAAATAAAATAAGATTTAAAAAAAAATACCTACCAGGGTTTGGGGATGTTGGGGTTGCATGAGGGAGAGCTTGTGGTGATGGGATCTTTATCTGCTTTATTGCAGTGACAGTTACAGGAATCCACATGTGCGATAAAATGTCACAGAACTATAGATGTGTTGTGCTGATGTCAGTTTCTTGGTTTGCATATTTGATTATTTTTACATAAAAATACATAAATACATAAAATGTATATTTTGCAGGAAGCCAGGAGAAGGTCCTCTAGGTATTGTTTTTGAAATTTACTGTCAATCTCTGTTTACTTCAAAATAAAACTTTAGAAATAAAGAAGTCTGTGAATAGATAATCACTAGATAAAAAATGATCTGTTCAGTCTGAACCATAGACCTCTAGGGGCCAAAACACTAGAGGAATTATCTTCATAGAAAATTGTTTGTGAGGTCTTCTTATATCAAAAAGGTAGAAACCGTTGAGGCTTTCAGTAGGAATACTAGAAAGGCTGAGGAAATACTTAAAAAGAGAAGTGTGAGTTTCGGAGATGTTCATGATGGGGGAACACAGGGCAAGGAAGCATCCAGACTAGCAGTTTACCAAGTAGCTCATCTAGATAAGTAAACAGGAAGTCTTTTCAGCACACCCAGACCAAGAGCAGATGGTATCCTCCATGGCTGGGCTCACTGGTGTCTGCACCATGAGGAACGGGCATCTATGGTTGCTGCCAGGTAGGCAGAATTACAACAATGGTGATAGGACAATTAAAGCTACTCAGAAACTATCCAGTTTGAGAATTCTCTCTGCTCTTTGCTTTATTTCTAGCTTTTGCTCTATTTCTTCTTCTTTTTTTTTTTCACTCTGTAAGCATAAACAAGGAAAAAGTTTTAATGCTATTAATTATATTAAATTCTCAAAGAAGAAAGTAGGTGGAACTTATTTCTAGGGCGATTTTTAGAACTTATCAGAGCTTTCTCATTTTCTGGCCTATATGAGACCTGGTTCTCCAGAGAAACAGAACCAAGTTTTGGCATATTACATATTTGTATAAAGATGTGTATATGTGTATGTGTATGTGTGTGTGTATAGACAGATGAGAAAAATGTATTATTAGTTTAAGAAATTGTTTTATGAGATTGTTGAAGTTAGATAGTCCAAAATCTGTAGGGCAGACTGGAACCCCATGGATGTTTCCAAGGACATTGATGTTGATCTTAAGTCTGAAGTCAGAAGCAGAATTCTCTTTCTTGGAGGAGGTCAGTCTTTTTAGCGCTTAAGGTCTTCAACTGATTAGACGAGGCCCATCCAGAGTGTCTGCGTTACTGAGTCTACTGATTTCATTGTTAATCTCATTTAAATAACCACCTTCACAGCAGCATCATGCTTCCCATGAGTGGAATGACAGACTCTGACAGGTGATCAGGTGATTGCCTGTAGGACATATTCCTTCACACCTGCAGTTGTTTCCATACCATGAAGCTGGTCCAGTGACTCATCACTCAGGACCAGATTAAGAGATAAAGGGAAAGGCTGTGCCCCCAGTACACTGTAGGACAGCCAGGAGCTCACTTTGAAGGAACCAGAGAAGCCATGGATGCTGCACCTGGAGAAGCCACTTAACCAGGAGATGGTGGCTCCAACTGCTAGTGTGATAGTTCCTACCCCTCACCTGTCATCAGCTCCCTGTCTTGTGATGCTAGGGCTCCCTACCCATCCAGTATGACTGTGAGCTGGGACTCAGACTTGGAGTTGGCTGACTCCCAAACCCATGTTCTTCTTGTGTGCCCCAAAACATGTGGGTTAAACAGGGGAAAGTCATCCTGGAAGAGAAATCCTCAAGGTAGATTTCTGCCATTGCCAGAGAAAATAGGACCTGGCTATGGGCAGAGCACACCAATCTGTGGACTTTGTACTTCAAGATTTACCCTCTCCATGGTGCCTGGGTGACCCAGTCAGTTAAGCATCTGCCTTCAGCTCAGATCATGGTCCCTGGGTCCTGGGATTGAACCGTGTCAGGTTCCCTATTATGTGGGGAGTTTGCTTCTCCCTCTCTCTCTGCCCCTCCCCCAGCTTGTGCTCTCTCTACTCTCTTTAAAATAAATAAATATTTATTAAGAAAGTATTTAACCCCTCCATTGGGAGAGGCTGAAATTTCTGTGTTGTGTTCCTGACATCACCTCTGTATATTCTGTGCCCTTACCTGTAGTTCTGAGGCTCCACGATGGTGCCTGTTAGTGACTGACTCCTCAGGGAGTCTGAGGAGAGGGAGGGAAGAAGACTGGTTCTCAAATCTTCATGAATCACTAGAGCCTTGGGAGGGCCATGGGTGCAGAATCAGAGCCACTTCCTAGGATGAAATGGCCCTGAGGACAAGGGTTGAAATTGGAGCTCCATCTCATTACTTTGTCATCTGTCTGTTTTTTTCTGCTCCAGGACTCTTGATGCTGCTGCTGTTGCCATTGAGAGCTGCAGCCCAGAAGACTAGTGGTGAGTCTGCCCAGCCAACCCTACTGGTGACAGAAGCTGGGGAGTGCATGAAAGGGTCTGGGTCCTCAAATGAACAAGGGGAAAAGGGGGGCATATCTTCAGGTGAGGTTCTAGTCTTCTGGAGATAACAGAGACTATTTCTACATCCCCAAATGTCCAGAACTTTCTGTCCATTCCTCTTGCAATGGCAGCCGTCCCTCTCCTTCCTCCAACTCACCTGCTCTCCCACAGCTGGCTGCTGACTCCATCCATTTCTTGACTCCTCCTTCTGACTATGGTCTCTGTCCCCAAACCTCTACCTCTACAGATTGTGCTCGCTGGTGCCCTCCAAACTCCACATGTGTCAATGCCACTGCCTGTCGCTGCTCCCCAGGATTCATTTCGTCATCTGGGGTGATCTTCACCAGCTTATTGGAGAGTTGTGATGGTACGGGGGCTTGGGATGGTGGTGGGGCATGGAGCTGGGTGTGGAGGGAGATGTGTTCTCTCTGTGCCTCAGTTTGCTTGTCTGTAAATTGCAGACAATCATTGTACCTACCCCCCATGGATGGAGTAAGATTTAAAATTCATGTGTGTGAAGAACAGGTAAAGACTAGTACAGACCAGACTGTCAAACACAAGCTATTTATCATGGTCACTGCTATTATTACTGTGATTATTCTCATAGCACAAGGAAAGGAAGAAGTGGAAGAAACAGGAGAGAACAATCAACCAGTGCCTGGAAGATTAGACTCCATCTAGTGGGAGCTTACTGGGAATAGTTATTCCTGATACCTTTGAAAAGTTAAGAAAAAAAAATACCCTAAAATTTCCCGGTAGTTTATATAGTGGACTTATGGGTGATTTTCTTTATTTTCATTTTTTTACATTTTCTTTCTCTTCTAAGTATCCATGTTCCATTTAACATTTGGGGGAAAGTAAATTTTTAAAAAATCTTATTTTATTTAAATTCAATTAATTAACATATGTTGCATTCTTAGTTTCAGAGGTAGAGTTCAGTGATTCATCAATTGTATATAACATCCAGTGCTCATTACATCACATACCCTCCTTAATACCCATCACACATTTACCCCATCCCCACCCTCTCTCCTCCAGCAACCCTCAGTTTGTTTCTTATGATTTGTCTCTCTGACTTTATCTTGCTTTTTCTCTCCCTTCTCCTCTCCTCCTCTGTTTTTTTCTTAACTTCCACATTTGAGTGAAATCATATGATAATTATCTTTCTCTGATTTTATTTTGCTTATCATAATGCCCTCTAGTTCCATCCATGTTGTTGCAAATGACAAGATTACATTTTTTTGAGATATATCTATCATCTATCTATCTATCTATCTATCTATATCTGTCATCTATCTATCTCACATCTTTTATTATCCATTCATCTGTCAATGGACATCTGGGCTCTTTCCTTATCTTGGCTATGGGAGACACTTCTGCTATAAACATTGGGGTGCACATGCCCTTTCAGATGACTACATTCGTATCTTTGGGGTAGACCTAGTAGTACAATTGTTGGGTTGTAGGGTAGCTCTATTTTCAACTTTTTGAGGCACCTCCATACTATTTTCCAGAGTGGCTGTTGCAGCTTGCATTCCCACCAACAGTATAAGAGAGTTCCTCTTTCTCAGCCTCCTTACCAACATTTGTTTTTTCCTGAGTTGTTAATTGTAGCCATTTTGATGGGTGTGAGGTGGTATCTCATTATGGTTTTGATTTGTATTTCCCCAATGCTGAGTCATGTTGAGAATTTTTTTATATGTCTGTTGGCCATTTGTCTTCATTGGAGAAATATCTATCTGTTCATGACTTCTGCCCATTTCTTGACTGGATTATTTGTTTTTTTGGTGTTGAGTTTGATAAGTTCTTTATAGATTTTGGGCACTAACCCTTTATCTGATAAGACATTTGCAAATATCTTCTCCCATTTTGTCAGTTGTCTTTTGGTTTTGTGGACTGTTTCCTTTGCTCTGCAAAAGATTTTTATCTTGATGAAATCCTAATAATTCATTTTTGCCTTTGTTTACCCCACCTTCAGTGAATTGTCTAGAAAAAGTTGTGGCAGATGTCAAAATGTTGTTGCCTGTGTTCTCTAGGATCTTGATGGGTTCCTATCTCACATTATGTCTTTTATCCATTTTGTGTGTAGTGTCAGAAAGTGGTCCAGTTTCATTCTTCTGAATGTGGCTGTCCAATTTTCCCAACACCATTTGTTGAAGAGACTGTCTTTTTCCCATTGAATATTCTTTACTGCTTTGTCCCATTTCTGGGTTCTTTACTCTGTTCCATTGTTCTATGTGTCTGTTTTTGTGCCAGTACTATAGTGTCTTGATGATTACAGCTTTGTAATATAACCTGAGGTCAGGCATTGTGATGCCTCCAGTTTTGGTTCCCTTTTCAACATTTCTTTGGCTGTTCAGGGACTTTTTCTGGTTCAATATAAATTTTAGGATTGTTTGTTACGGCTCTGTGAAAAATGTTGATAGTATTTTGATAGGGATTGTATTGAATGTGTAGTTTGCTGTAGGTAGCATATACATTTAAACAATATTTTTCTTCCAATCTATGAGCATGGAATGTTTTTCCACTTTTTAATGTCTCCCTCAATTTCTTTCATAAGTGTTCTGTAGTTTTCAGAGTACAGATACTTTGCCTCTTTGGTTAGGTTTATTACTAGGTATCTTATGGTTTTTGGTGCCACTGTAAATGGGATGGATTCCTTAATTTATCTCTTCTTTCTCATTGTTAGTGTATAGAATTACAAGTGATTTCTCTGTATTGATTTTATATCCTGCCACTTGGCTGTATTGCTGTATGAGTTCTAGTAATTTGGGGGTGGAGTCTTTTGGGTTTTCCACATAAAGTATCATGTTATCTGTGAAGAAAGAGAGTTTGACTTCTTTGCCAATTTGGATGCCTTTTATTTCTTTTTGTTCTCTGAGTGACTGCTGAGGCTAGCACTTCATGTACTATGTTGGACAGCTGTAGTGAGAGTGGGAATCCCTGTCATGTTCCTGACCTTAAGGGGAAAGCTCTCAGGTTTTCCTTGTTGAGAATGATATTTACTGTGGGCTTTTCATATATTGCTTTTATGATATTGAGGTATGTTCCCTCTATCCCTATACCATGAAGAGTTTTAATCAAGAAAGGATCCTGTACTTTGTCAAATGCTTTTTCTGCAACCATTGAGAGGAGCATATGGTTATTCTCCTTTCTTTTACTAATCTGGTGTATCACACATTGACTGATTGATGCATATTGAACCACACTTCAGTTGAGGAATAAATCCCATTGGCTGTGGTGAATAATCCTTTAATGTACTGTTGGATCTTACTGGTTAATAGATTGGGGAGAATTTTTTTTTGGGAGAATATATATATTTTTAATTAACATATAATGTTATTATTTGCCCCAGGAGTATAGGTCTGTGAATCATCAGGTTTACACATTTTATAGCACTCACCATAGCACATACTCTCCCCAATGTCCATAACCCACCCACCCTATCCCTACCCCTTCCTCCACCTCCCAACAACCCTCAGTTTGTTTCATGAGATTAAGAGTCTCTTATGATTTGTTTCCCTCCTTACCCCCATAACCTCCCTCCCTGCCTCTCAAATTCCTCATATCAGAGAGATCATATAATTGTCTTTCTCTGATTGACTTATTTGCTTAGCATGATACATCATTGATACCCTTCCATGATATCCTTGGTATCATGGCACGATCCATTTTGAGGTATCAAGGCATGATACTCTTCCATCTATGTCATTTCAAATGGCAAGATTTTGTTTCTTTTCATGGCTGCATAGTATTCCATTGTGTATATATACACCACATCTTCTTTACCCATTCATCTGTTGATGGACATCTAGATTCTTTTCATAGTTTGGCTATTGTGGACATTGCTGCTATAAACATTCAGGTGCATGTGACCCTTTGGATCACTATATTTTTATCTTTACGGCAAAGGCAAATACCCAGTAGTGTGGTTGCTGGATCATAGGGTAGCTCTATTTCCAACTTTTTGAGGAACTTCTGTACTGTTTTCCAGAGTGGCTGCACCAGCTTGTATTCCCACCAACAGTGTAGGAGGGTTCTTGGGGAGAATTCTGTATCCATGTTTATTAGGGACGTTGGTCTTCAATTCTCCTTTTTTGGTGGGGTCTTTTTCTTGTTTTGGGATCGAGGTAATGCTGGCTTCATTAAAAGAATTTAGAAATTTTCCTTCCATTTCAACTTTTTGAAACAGCTTTAGAAGATAGGTATTATTTCTTCTTTAAATCTTTGGTAGAATTCCCAAAGGAAGATACTGGCCCTGGAGTGTTGTTCTTTGGGACATTTTTTGATTACTGTTTCAATTTCCTTGCTGGGTCTGTTCAGGTTTTCTATTTTCTTCCTGTTTCAGTTTTGGTAGTTTTTATGTTTCTAGGAATGCATCAATTTCTTCCAGTTTACTTAATTTGTTGGCGTATAGTTGCAGATAATATGTTCTTATAATTGTATTTCTTTGGTGTTGGTTGGATCAATCCTCTTTCAGTCATGATTTTATTAATTTGGGTCTTTTCTCCTTTCTTTTCCAATAGTCTAGGTATTCAAGTTTTTCAGTCTTATTAATTCTTTCAGGACTTTATCAATCATTAATTCTTTCAAAGAACCAGTTCCTAGTTTTGTTCATCTGTTCTACTGTACTTTTGGTTTCTATTTCATTCACTTCTGCTCTAATCTTTATTAATTTTCTTCTCCTGCTAGGTTTAGGCTTTACTTGATACTTTTTCTTCAGCTCTTTTAGGTGTAAGTTTAGGTTGTGTGTTTGAGCCTTTTCTTGTTTCTTGAGAAAGTCGTATAGTGCTGTGTACTTCCCTCTTAAGACCACCTTTGCAGCATCCTAAAGTTCTTGAAGAGCTGTGTTTTCATTTTCATTTGCTCCCATGTATTTTTAAAATTCTTCTTTAATTTCCTAGTTGAAACATTCATTTTTTAGTAGGATGCTCTTTAAATCCATGTATTTGTGTTTCTTCCAAATTTCCTCTTGTGATTGAATTAAGTTTTAAAGCATTATGATCTGAAGATTGGCAGGGAATAATCCTAATTGTATTGGTTGGACATGATTCTTGACCCAGTGTGTGATCTATTCTGGAGAATGTTCCATATGCACCTGAGAAGAATGAGTATGCTGTTGATTAAGGATGGAATGCTCTGTAAATGTTTGTGAAGTCCATCTGGTCCAGTGTGTCATTCAAAGCTCTTGTTTTCTTGTTGATCTTCTGCTTAGGTAATCTGTCCATTGCTTTGAGTGGAGTGTTAAAATCCCTTACTATTCTTGTATTATTATCAATGTATTTGTACAGCTTTTTATTTATTAGTTTATAAAATTGGCTACTCCCAAGTTAGGGGGATTAAATATTTAAAATTGTTATATCTTCTTCTTGGATAGACCCTTTAATTATGATATAAAGTTCTTCTTCAGATCTTATTACAGTCTTTGGTTTAAAATCTAGTCTTTATAATACAAAGTTTGCTACCATAGCTTTCTTTTGATGTCCATTAGCATGATAGATGGTTTTCCACCTCCTCAACTTTCAATCTGGAAGAGTCTTTGGGTCTAAAATGAGCCTCTGGTAGACAGACTTATGGCTAGGTCTTGCTTTTTTATCCCATCTGATACCCTGTGTCTATTGATTGGGGATTTTAGCCCATTTACATTCAGAGTAATTACTGAAAGATATGAATTTAGTGCCATTGTGTTACCTGTAAAGTCCCTTTTTCTGTGTATTGTCTCTGTTCTTTTCTGGTCTTTGTTACTTTTGGGCTCTCTCTTCACTTAAAAGATCCCCTTTAATATTTCTTGCAGGTCTGGTTTAGTGATAAAAAAAAAAAAATTTTTTTTTTTTTTTTTTTTTTTTTTTTTTTTTAGGTTTCTGTTTGTCCTGGAAGCACTTTATCTCTCCTTCTATTCTGAATGACAGCCTTGCTGGGTAAAGCCTTGGTGCATAATTTTCTCATTTAGCACCCTGAATATATCATGTCAGTCTTTTCTGGTCTGCCAGTGCTCTGTGGATAGGTCTGCTGCCAGCCTTACGTTTCTACCTTATAGGTTCAGGACTTTTTGCCCAAGGAGCTTTCAGGAATTTCTCTTTATCTCTGAAATTTGCCAGCTTCAGTATTATATGTCAAGTTGTTGACCCGTTTTTATTGATTTTGAATCCTCCTGGACTTGAATGCCTGTTTCTTTCCCCAGAATAAGGAAGTTCTCAGCTGTAAGTTGCTCAAATAACCTTCCGCTCCTCCATTTCTATTCCTCTGGGACACCAATTATTCTAACATTGTTTAGCTTTATTGCATCACTGATGTCTGGAATCCTCCCCTTGTGATCCAGTAGTTGTTTATCTCTCTTTTTTTTCAGTTTCCTTATTCTCCATAATTTAATCTTCTATAACATTGATTCTCTCTTCTGCCTCTTTTATTCTGCAGTCAGAGCATCCATCAATGATTGCATCTCATTAATAGCCTTTTTTATTTCAGCTTGATTAGATTTTAGTTCCTTTATTTCTCCAGAACCCTTTCTCTAATGTCTTCTGTGCTTTTTTCAAGCCCAGCTAGTGTCTTTATAATCATTATTTTAAATTGTAGTTCCTACATTTTTTAATATCCATATTCATTAAGTCCCTGGTAGTGACTACTGCCTTTGTTCTTTTCTTGTGGTGAGTTCTTCTGTCTTGTCATTCCTGCAAAAAGTGGTCTCTTTTTTATTTGTAGACTTGCAGCAATTCTTTTTTAAAATCTCTGGCTCATTTGCAGGTGTTCAGAATAATTTGATAGCTATGTAGCTGAATTCCAGGCAAAACGAGGGTCCCTTATTCCTCTGCCATCTTCCTCTTCTCCTTGGGAGGAAAGTAAATTTTATCATTAAAAGAAAGGTGTTGTGACTCCTGCCCAGCCCTTCTATGCCCAAGAGGTATCCCTAATGGATTCCCCTGGATTTGCATTTGTGTCTCATGGAGACTCGTGGCTGGGTGAGCATGGCAAGGAGCCCTGCTGATGGTGTGCCTAGAAACCAGCTCCTTCCTGGGAGCACATCTATCAGGTGGAGAATTTCTCATTGTCATGTCTTCCCCTCACACATGCCTCATTCCCACTTGTGCCTCACTTCACTCCACCCCACTCCACAACCATGAAGGCTGATGTCCAGCCATTGCTACCATCTAAGAAGAGAGGAGGACAGATGGGAGTGAACATGAATGTGTTAGGTATGTGTCTTCCCACATCCTGTCATGTTCTGGTGCTGACATCCATATCCTGGGTCTGTGGTCTTAGAAGGGAGGTCCACATTTAGGGCAGAAAACTGATCTGGGGGAGACCATTTGCCTGCCCTGACTCAGCATGATACCGTGAGTCCTTTCAGGCTCTAAAAGTCTTTCTGCCCCGATTGGAAGGTACAGGACCAAATAATCTGTCCTTGCATTTTGATGCATTCTTGTCTTGCTTGTTCTTATTAAACTGTTATTTATAAACCAGTGGTGTGTGGCTTCTGTTGTGTGGGTCCCTGAGCTACTCAAAGAGGACGTGGCTTAAGGGAATCTTTCCTCTCAGGTTTAGAGAGGAGGAGATAGGAGGCCAGAAAACACCCCCAGTGACTCCACTGTGAGAATCTGCATTCTACTTCTTCATTTCTTATCTCCAATGCTCTGATAAGAGGAAATTCTTCCAGGGCTGGAGGTAGCAAGACTCATCCAGAGACATCCTGGAGCATCTCTTTTTCTTTGTTTTCTAAGGTTTTACTTATTTATTTATTCGTTTGAGAGAGAGTGAGAGTGAGAGACTGCACATGAGTGGGAGGGGGAGGGGCAGTGGCAGAGGGAGAAGCAGACTCCCCACTGAGCAGGCAGCCCAATGCAGGGGTCAATCCTAGGACCCTGGGATCATGACCCGAGTTGAATGCAGATGGTTAACTGACTGAGGCATCCAAGTGTCCAAAGTGTCACTTCTAGCTCTGAGAAGGGGAATTGACTGGGACACCCAAGTGCCCATCTTGAAAATGCCTGACACTGGAGCTGGGGGAGTGCTTGATGAAGCCTGTGGGGTGTACTGAGGTCACCATGAGTAATGGGAGATGGAAGCTATCAATGGGCAGGGGCCTGACCATCTGGCTTTACCCTCAAATGGGAAAGAGTGTTACCTTAGACAGACTCTAGCCATGAAACCCTTCACTTCAGTGCCGGTAACCTTGACTGGAGCCCACCCCCAGTTCCCCAATAGTGCAAACAGAGACTCAGTGCCTCACAAGGCCTATAGAAGGGGATGCAGACCTCCTTCCAGCCCCCATGATGGCACAGCAGAGTGTCTAAGACTAGGTGCCATCAGGCCCATCTAGAGAGCAGAGATGAGCAGAGCAGTGAGCAGGTGTTTAGAATAGCAGGCTCCAGCTCATCCAGAAAACTGTGAGCTGAGTTCTGTCCAGTCTCTATGGCAGAGAAGTGCTTGAGGCCAGGGCCTCTGCCCTATGGAAACTCACAATTTGTTGAGGTGACCCTTTGTCCTGTTGTGTTCCAGATATCAACGAGTGTGGATCACTGTCAGCTGTGTCCTGTGGAGAATTTGCAGATTGCCAGAACACAGAGGGGAGCTACTACTGCATATGCATTTTAGGATATGAGCTTGCTTCTGGGGCAAGAATGTTCAAGAATGAGAGTGAGAACACATGTCAAGGTGAGAATTGACTTGTATCTTCCATCTTCTCCTCCATGAGGTTTGGTGTCACTCAGCTCACTTTCTCCAGGCACCAGAGAACATCCTACTATCCTGTCCCTTTCCAAAACTCAAGGCTCAGAACCCTATCCAGAGGGTCACTTCTGTAATTCTGAAATGTCCTCCTTGTCTATCTGGGATCTTATTTTCATAAAACAAAAAGAGAGATGGCATCAAGATACTTCAGAAGCTGAGAGCATGTGTGTTCTAATACAATATCTATCTTCTTTACCATCATCAATGACTGCCATGAAGAGTCCTGCCCCCACTGGAGCCCACATGGGTTTGGCCCCCACTAGGAGCCCTCTCAAAGCCATGGGCCCTGAGGGATCCAGGAACCCTGTCCAGAGACATGGGAAGAGGGATATTTAAGGGTGGGTTCATCTTCCCCGGTTGGCCTTGCCAACAACCCCACCTGGAGAACACACATCCTAGCACCTTGATTTGGGTTTTTGTCTGCTCTACCACCATGTACTTCCCCATGCAAGGCTTTGCCTGACTCTCCCCAGTAACTTCCATTCAACAGCCTGTGACAAATTGGATGACCAGGATCTGGGAGGCTGTTGTGTTGGTGGTGGGAAGAGTGATGTGGACTATCCCCACACACCTGGAGACTCATATGAATGGAAGAGGGTCTCATATGGACTAAATGGCAAGACAGGACACAATTGGAGACCAGAGTCCCAAGTCTGATCCTCTTACAAAGGGGTCAACCTGGGTCCCAGGTTGACTCAGACGACTTGGTGACAGAAGATTAAGGCTAAACTCCCTTGACAGGATCCACAGGTCTGTGTCCTTTCCTGGGACACAAGGCCAAGAACCTGCCACTCCTTGCCATCAGCACGTGTTCCCCATTCCAGCCACTCAGCTCTTGCCTACCTAAGGACTTGCTCAGATGTGTATTCTCAGCACTTCCTGCCAATCCAAGCATACCTTCAGAGGAATCAGAAAAGTCACCTTCATCACCCCAAAGATGCTTGGCTGAACATCAGCCCCCCACTATCCTCTTCAGCTTGGTGCCTGCTGTCTGGGTGACCCAGGACTGGCTGGCATCATCTTCATCTCCCTTCCTCTATAGAAAGCTTTTTCCTTGAGGAGCCTGGCTCAGATGTGGGTCTTGGTGCATCTCCATGGAGCTGAAGTCTCAGACAGTGTGGTTGAGAGAGCGTTGTCCTGCTAGGGTCACCGGGTTCCAAGGACAACTCAGGCAGCAAGTTGTTGCCCTGGGAAATTAGGACAAAACCATCACTGGGAGCTAAGTCCTGCTTGGGGAACACAGCATTTCCCCTGCACTTGGTTCCCAGGAAGGCCCACTCTGGACTTGTCCAAGTCCTCAGGCTGGAACACAGGTGGCCATGATGTCTTTGCCTTACCTGGGAGCTGCCCAGAGAGGCCAAGGGAGCCAGAGCTGGCAGATGAGGAGGACTTGGACCACTTCTGGCAACATCTGGAAACAACATCTGGGCTACCACGCTCACCCATCACTCATCTTCATGTGAATTAGAAAAGGCACCCACTCACTGAGGAGGAGAGAACAGAGGTTTCCAGATGCTTCTATCCCAGGAAACAGCTGCAGGCACCCATCATCCTCTCCTTCCCCCTGCAAATGTGAATGAATGTCACCAGAAACCCCGAATCTGTAAAAGCTGGGGCATCTGCACCAACACCAAGGGCAGCTACACCTGCGAGTGTCCACCCGGCTTGCAGCTCAACCCGGGCAACCTGAATCTGTGCACAGGTAGAGGCCCTAGCAGACACTGTGAGGCTGTGCTGGAGCTGGCAGATCCCGTAGCCCCAGGAGGAGGGAGAACCTCAGGTTCCTGAAACACTGGGGGTTTGCTCTGCCCAAGGATTCACCTTCCAGGAAGGTCCCACCACAGAGCAGGGAGGCCACAGGGCTTTCTGGGCCTGGGGCTCCCTTGTGGGCCTCAGTCTCTATAAGCACCCCCACACTTGCCCCTTCTAATCTGTCCCATTCTAGCAGGAAGTGTCACTTCTAGCTCTGAGAAGGAGAACCTCAGTTGCCAGCTGAGGAGGAAATGACTAAGAGCCTTGACTGGGAAGTCTAGCTCTCATGACTCAATTTCCCCTTTGCCATAGTTTTTGCCTGAAAAGGAGGATACTGTCCCTCCTGAGTTCATCTTGAAGGAAGCTGTCATAAGGAGCTTTGGGAATGGAGAGGCAGCCTTATTTTCAGGACTGGTGTATGCTCAGTGCAAGCAGTGAGGAGATGGGGAACCACGCACGGCTGGACAGGGCAGGGCTGACCCTGTGGGATCTGTTCTCATAAGGACAGGGGTGCAGCTTGGGACAGCAGTGGTGCCATTACCCCACCCACTGAGTCAACACAAGGGTAGCTCAGTGTCACAGCCTGCCTGGGTAGAGGCCCATTTTTGCCCCCTGACACCCAGTTCATCCTGCACCATATGTGAAGGGACTCAGCTTTGTCTGGAATGACACACATGGTTCTACCCTGTCCGCCTTGCAGGGATAATCTGAGATTATGGAGTTTTTACAGGAGAAGATGCTATCATAAAATTTATTTTGACTGGCTAAGTGGCTGGTACATGGTGTGTGTATGTGTGTGTGTGTCTCCTTGGTGTGACGTACTAAAGAATCTTAGAAAAGGGGCAGGCAGGATGGATGCAGTGACTGGAGGGGACTCTGACCCTCTGGCTTTGTCCTCAGATGTGAATGAATGCACGTCGGGGCAGAACCCATGCCACAGGTCCACCCACTGCCTCAACAACATTGGGGGCTACAAGTGCCGCTGCCGCCCTGGCTGGAAGCCTGTTCCTGGGTCCCCCAATGGCCCAAGCAACACTGTCTGTGAAGGTACAGAGCTCAGACGCCACATCCTGGAGACCCACACGCAGAACATCTGATCCCATATTCAGTGCACTCATAGTGGCGTTAATTATTTTGAGGCTGGAGGTGGGGGTTCTGGGAAAGGAACCAGGGTACAGAGGAGCAGGCTCCTTGGAGACCACAGACAGCAGCTAATTATCACCTCGGGCAAAGGTATTTCTATATTCACAACCTGCACATCCGTACAGGGCTCACGTGCTACATGTCAGGCTCCTCACACTTACCCTGGATGGAAAACGATTTGCTGGATGGAAAACGATTTGCTCAATGGGAAACGATTTGTAGGGGGGTGGGGGGGGGAGGGGGGGGGGGGTTCCGGGGAAGGACCTAGAATGCCCAGGAACAGGCTCCTTGGAGACCCCAGGCAGCAGCTAATTGCCACCTGGGACAAAGGTATTTCTATATTCACAACCCGCACATCTGTACATGGCTTCTCAGCCATCCGGCCTGCCTCTGTTTCCCTGCGCAGGGCTCTGCCCCGACCCTCCCTGGTGGGCTTCCATGTCATGCTCCTCACACTCCCCGTGACCCCTGCATCACTAGGATGTGGGGTCAGCAGGTGATATCACCTCCAGCCAAGGGGGGGGGGATACTAACACAGGGAAGAGGGGGCAGGACACAGAGGGGAAAGGCGTCCTGACTCCGAACTTTGTGTCCCCAGATGTGGATGAGTGCAGCTCTGAGAAGCCTTTGTGCCACGAGTCCACCGTCTGCATCAACACCGTAGGCTCGTACAAGTGCCGCTGCCGCCGGGGCTGGGAGCTCAAACCCGGATTCCAGAATAAGCAGCCCAACACCACCTGTGAAGGTATCTGGTCTGACCTGACCCCTGATCCCGCCCCCGACACACACAGACACTCTCACGCCTAATGAACTGCTGCTCTATCCCCTGCAGAGATGTCCTTCCCCACCTGGACCCCACCCCCTAGAATCAAGAGCCAGGTGAGTGGCCCCAGCAGGGACCAGGATGCAGGAATCCCTCCGCGCAGCCCACCTGATCCACCCATTCATCCCAAGCTCCCGACTCAAATGTGAGGCTCTCTGACTTGTGTCATCTCTATCCTAGCGGCTCTCCCGTTTCTTTGAAAGAGTCCAAGGTCTGGGGAGACACTTCAAGCCAGCCTTGGCTCAGGACACCATCCAGGTAAGGGCAGATCCCAGGAGAGGCAAGCTGGAGGCATCCCATAGAGACCTGGGAAGCTTTGGTCTGGGAGGAGGCAGCCCCAACATGATGGCTTCCTGTCTCAGGCCCCGCCTTTCCCAGGGTGGGTGGGGACCTGCAGGCATTCCTACTCACTGTTAGACAGCCCCCCGCACCCAGAAATGACTTTTCTTCTTGCTGTTTCTTGACATTGGGCTAATGTCACTCTTGGCATTTGTGAACAGGGTTGACTTTTGTGTGGCTGGATTCCGGGGGCAAAGACCCAGGAAATGTGATCCAGTACCACCTTCATCTACCAATGAGTCTCCAGGGTCTGTTGTCTGGGGCGGAGTGGGAAGGGTCTTCATGCTTACTAGCTCTGTGTCCCCATTCCCCCAGGACCTCATACAGGAGGTGGATGAGCTGCTCCAGACCCCCGAGGACCTGGAGGCTCTGCCCCGCTCAAAGCAGCACTGTGTGGCCACGGACCTGCTCGGTGGCCTGGAGGATGTCCTGAGAAAGCTGAGTCAGGCTCTGCCCAGTGGAACATTGACCTTCAATGCATCTGCAGGCACAGGTAAGTACTGGGGTCTGCCCCAGGCTCTGCTCTGCCTGTTCCCGCCACCTTTGCCCTGCAGCCTCACTGGACTGTGTGACCATGCTTGTATCTCAGTGTTACACTCATAAGCCAATTAAGATGGTAAATGAATAAAACTGCTAATCATACACATTTTCATTGTAATATAAAGAATGGAAATTTAATATTATTTGATATTTAAGTATACTTTGTTTTATTGAGGTAAAATTTACATGACATAAAATTCACCATTTTAAACAAAATGTACAATTCAGTGGACTTAGTACACTCACAGAGTTGTACAACCATCACCTCCATTTCTAAAATATTTTCATCACCCCAAAAGTAAATAGTGTACCCACTAAGCAGTCCCTTCTCATCTCTCTCCCAGACCCTGGCAGTCACCAGTCTGTTTTTTGTGTCTGTGGATTTCCCTATCCTGAACATTTCATAGCAATAGAATCACGCAATAGGTGATCTTATAGTCTGGTTTCTTTCACACAGCATCATGTTTTCAAGGGGAATCCCTGTTGTAGCCTGTGGCAGTAATTCTTTCCTTTTTAGGGCCGAATAATATTCCATTATTGTGGCTACAGCACCTTTTGTGTATCCATTCAGCTTTTGACTATTTTGAATAGTGTTTCTATAATATTGGTGGACAAGTTTTTGTTCGAATAACAGTTCTCAGCTCTTTGCATACCCACATAGGAGTGGAATTTCTGAATGATGAGGTGACTCTCTGTTCAACTTTTTGAGGAATGACCAAACTCCTTTTCCAAAATGGAGGCACCATTTTACATCCCCACAAGTAGCAGCAAGGGTTCCCGTATGCACAGTCTCAGCAACACTTCGTACTTACATTTTGTTTTTGTATAGCCGTTTTAGTGTATCAGGTGATATCTCATTATAGTTTTGATTTGCATTTCTCAAACGACTAATGATATTTACCATCTTTTCATGTGATTGCTGAATATTTGTGTGTGTGTATGTGTGTGTGTATTTTTTTTTTTTTTGAGAGACATCTATTCAAGTCCTTTGCATATCTTTTTAATTCATTGTTTGGCTTTTGGTTGTTGAGCTGTAAGAGTTCTTTATATATTCTATAGTAGACTGTATGAGACATGGGATTTGCTCATTTTTTCTCCCATTCCATAGACTGTCTCTCCACTTTCTCCATGGCCTTTTCACTCTTGTGAACAGATGCTTCTGTTTTGATGAAATCCCTTTCCTCTATTTTTTCTTTTGTTGGGTATGCATTTGGTGCATTCTCTAAGAATCCATTGCCAAGTTCAAGCCCATGAAGATTACACCTGTGTTTCCTCCTAACTGTTGTAGTTTAGCTTATAAATGTAGGTCTCTTACCCATTTCGATTTAGTGTTTGTGTGTTGTGTGAGGTGGGGTCCTTCTGTTCTAAGTGGAGATCAGATGTGCCCAGCACCATTTTCCAAAGAGACTTTTCTTTTGCTGCTGAAGGGTCTTGGCATCTCTTGTTGCAAATCAGTTGAGCACTCAATTGATGTGTCGGTTTATTTCCAGACTTCCAATTTTATTTTACTTGTCTGTATGTCTATCCTTATACCAGAGCCTACTGTTCTGGTTACTATAGGTTAGTACTCAGTTTTGAAATCAGGAGGTATAAATACTCCAATTTTGTTTTTCATTTTCAAGATTGTTTTGGGTATTTTTTCCCCTTGCAATGCCTTGTGAACTTGAGGACTGATTTTTCCATTTCTAAAAAAAATGTTGTTGGAATATTGATATAGATTGCATTGAATATGTAGACCTCTTTTGAAAATATTGCTATCTTAACAATATTAAGCCTTTAAAATCATGAATACAGAATGTTTTTCCAGTTACATAGGGTCCTTCATTTATTCTTTTTTTTTTGAAGATTTTATTTATTTATTTATTTATTTATCAGAGAGAGAGAGAGAGAGAGAGAGAGAGAAAGAGAGCTAGTGAGCACACAAGCAGGCAGAGTGGCAGGCAGAGGTGGAGAGAGAAGCAGGTTTCCTGCTGAGGAAGGAGCCTGATGTGGGACTCAATCCCAGGACCCTTGGATTATGACCTGAGCCAAAGGCAATGGCTTAAGCCACGGAACCACCCAGGCGTCCTTCCTTCATTTATTCTAACATATTTTTTTTGGAGTTTTCAATGTACAAGTCTTGAACCTCCTTGGGTAAATTTATTCCTAATAGTTTCTTGAAGGTTATTTTTTTTTTACATCTGTGATCACAAGAAATATTGGTCTATAGTTTCCTCCTAAAGGCTTTATGTGGTTTTGTTATCAGGGTGATGGTGGCATCATAAGATTATTCACATAGTATTCTATCCTTTCCTACATTTGGAGGGGTTTACTAAGGATATTATTAATTCTTACTTAAATAGTTGGCAGAATTCACCAGTAAAACCATCTGGTTTAGGCTTTTTATTTTGGGGATTTTTTAAAAAAATATTTTATTTATTTGTTGACAGAGGGAGAGAGAAACAGTGAGAGAGGGAACATAGCCGGGGGAGTGAGAGAGGGAGAAGCAGGTTTCCTACTGAGCAGAGAGCCCAATGTGGGGCTTGATTGCAGGACCCTGGGATCATGACCTGAGCTGATGGCAGACGCTTAATGACTGAGCCACCTGGTGTCCCTATTTTGGGGAATTTTTACCTGTTAATTATATTTCCCTGTGATAGTTAAACTTTATTAAAGTTCAACTTTATTTGTTCTTCAGTTACTTTTGTAGCTTGTTTGTCTCTCAGAATTTGTCACTTTCATCTAGGTTATGAGTTTGTTGGTGTATAGTTGCTCATAGTATTGTCTTATCCTTCGTAAATTCGGTGTGTGTGTGTGTGTGTGTGTGTGTTTGTGCGTGCACGCACGCATTTGACTACCACAACATATAGAAAGTAATGGCGTTATAGCAACCACTACAGGCAGAATTACTAACCTAACTCTTACCACTCACAGACCTGTCCCTGGAGGTGCAGGAGCAAGGACACAGAAATGTCACTTTGAGTTCAAATCAGGCGAAGATGTGGCTGAACTGGGATGTGGTGCACAAATCTGGTGACTCAGGTAATGGCTGAGATGGGAGGACGGTCACAAGATGCCCAAGGATGTAACAAACAGGGAACAGAAGATAAAAGGGAAGGGGAGATTTAGCAAGGCTACAAAGCATGCCTTTGAGGGGGAAGGGGCTCTGTTGGACACACCAAGATATTAACTTAGACCTCATCTTGCAGGTCCTTCTGTGGCGGGCCTCATCTCCACTCCAGGGATGGGCAAGTTGCTGGCAGAGGCCCTCCTGGTCCTGGAGTCTGAGAAACAGGCAGTTCTGCATGGGGCACACAAGCGTATTTTGCCAGGAGTTTCCTTGGTCCTGCTCTCAGATGTCATCTCTGCCTTTACGAACAATAAGTACACCCAGAACCTCAGCTCCCCCATCACCTTCATCTTCTCTCATCATGTGAGTGCTGGTGTCATGGGACTTTGGGTGTGGAATGAGCCTGGGTCCTGGGCACAGCCTTGCTGCCTAGCTCAGCCTTGCAGTTCTGGGTGGGGGCTCCCCCATGAGTGCATCTTTCCCCAGGAAAGCCCTTTGCAAGCCAGCTTTGGATAAGCATTTCTGAGCACCAGAAATATGAGCTCCCACCTACACTCTCTTCCTAAAGTCAGTGAGCCCTGGGCCAACACAAAAGGTGTTCTGCGTCTTCTGGGAGCACAGTCAAGGTGGCTGTGGTCATTGGTCCACTAGAGGCTGCAGGATGGTGACCACTACAGACACCAGTACCATCTGCCAGTGCACCCATCTCAGCAGCTTTGCCATTCTCATGGACCACTACGATGCACAGGTGAGAGCCCGGAGAGGGGTTGCATTCCATGCCTATTGCTCTGTAACATATTGCCTCACGTGTAAGGGCTTTAAAAAAACATAAAGTTATATCTCATGGTTACTTTGGGGCAGCAGCCGGGCATGGTGTAGCTGAGTTGTGTGTTCTGGGTCTTACAATGCACCTTAGCTGCATTTTTCTCTGAGGCTCAGGTCCTCCTGTGAGCTCCCTGGTTGCTGGCAGGATTCAGTTCTTTGCAGCCATAGGACTGGGGTTCCACTTTCTAGCTAGCTGTGAGCAGGGGACGCTGCTCAGCTACCAGGGGCTGCCTGTATCCCTTCTCTGGTAGCCCTCACACAGTGTCTCAGCATTTCTATTCAGAGGCCAGCAGGAGGAGATCTCTCATCAGAAACGCTCTCAAACTTTGAATCTTTTTCTCCAAGAAGAGCCCAGAGCTTTTGGGGGCTTACTGATTAGATCAGGCCCACCCAGGATAAGCCCCTCTTTTAGAAAAGTTTACTGATATAGGACCTGAATTCCAACTGCAAAGTCTCTTCACAACACACAAATTGGCTTTTATTTGAGAACCTGGAAGATGTGTGTACACCTTTTCTTTCTGCCGAATTAGAGCTCTACTTACCACAGGGGTCTTCGGGGCAGGAGTGCAAAGGGTTATAGAACAGAAGGTATGGTGGTGGCAGACATCAGAGGGACAGGGAAACCAACGAGTACAGGTAGATTAGCAACTATGTTTGCCTGCTCCCCTGGCCAGGTGAGCTGGTTACTTCCTCTGGATCACTGAAACAAAAATCTCATGCAGGTGACCTGTAAGTAAAACAAACCTTTGTGAGTTCTGGGGCTTTGTCTTGAGTAAGGACTCTCCTAGCCCTCAATTCTTGCAGGATCCGAATCAGGTCAGAATCCCATAGAATTCTAGCAATCCGAACCTGGAGGAATTTACCCAATAACATAACAAGTTTACCTGGGTCCTCACTCTTGATGTTGCTGTGCCAAAGTATTTTTTTAAAGAATGGAAGAGTCATTACTCAGAGCAGGAAAATGTGATGGTGATGTCCTCCTTGCTTCTCTTTGCTGGGTCCCAGGAGGAGCGTCCCGGGCTGGCTGTGATCACCCATGTGGGGCTGGGCATCTCTCTGCTGTGCCTCCTCCTGGCAGCCCTCACCTTCCTGCTGTGCAAAGCCATCCAGAACACCAGCACGTCGATCCACCTGCAGCTCTCAATCTGCCTCTTCCTGGCCCACCTGCTCTTCCTCACGGCCATCGACCAGACCAAGATCAAGGTACTGACACTGTCACTGAGGAGGCCCTGCCCTGCCCCAGGGGTGCTCAGTTCATGGAGCTGTGCTGCAATGATACCTTACCTCAAATGGCTTTGGGGCTCAAGGAAGTTTTGAAGACTAAGTAGCCTATTTCACATTGACAAAACTAGAAAGGAAACCTTTTCTTAACAACTTCTTTATACACATTAGACTTCTCCCAAGTGGCAAGATATGGGAAGGATCCTGGGGCCACCCTCCTCCCTGACAATCCCTCCTGGTGACACTTTTCTCCTCCCCCAGGTGCTGTGTGCCATCATTGCAGGTGCCCTACACTATCTCTACCTGGCCTCCTTCACCTGGATGCTGCTGGAGGGTCTGAATCTCTTCCTCACTGCACGTAACCTGACGGTGGTCAACTATTCCAGTGTGAGGAGGTTCATGAAGAAACTCATGTTCCCTGTGGGCTATGGAGTCCCAGCTATAATTGTGGCCATTTCTGCAGCATCCAGGCCTTACCTTTATGGAACTCCCATGCGGTAAATGCAAATTCCCTACATGATCATGGCCACCACTAGAACCAGAGTAGCATTTTTAAAAAATTATGCCTCAACATAATAAGAGAAGGCACATGAAGTAATAATCCTTAGGACATTTTTCTGGTAGAAAATTATAATAATTAAGTAGCATGTCCTTTAAAGCTCTGTCTTTTGAATAACAAAACCGAAGCCAAAGAAGTGCTTAGGACACCATTTAGAAAAATTAAATCTACTTCTTTGTCCAAATTCTTTAGGATGTTCCAATGTTTTTATTTGGAAAAGGAAAGGTGATTTAAATAATGAAGTAATAGATTGTATTATAGTTAAGATTTATATGGTGCTTACTTTATGGCATGCATTTTTATAACCATTTTTGTATGTGTTCTCTCTCTCAATGTTCACACTAATACTATGAAGAAAGTACAGTCATTTGACCCATTTTACAGATGAATAAACTGAGCCACAGATAGTTTAATTAGATACCCCAGGGTGCATGGCTAGTAAGTGACAGAGCTTATACTCTATTATCTTCACATTTAATACTCAGTTTCACGTTTATTAAAAAATTTAATTTTATTTTTTCAGTGTTCTAAGATTCATTGTTTATGTACCATACCCAGTGCTCCATGCAATACGTGCCCTCCTTAATACCCACCACCAGGCTCACCTAAGCCCCAATCCCTCCCCTCCAAAACCCTCAGTTTGTTTCTCAGAGGGTTTTTTTTTTTTACATTTTTATTGAAATATATTTCACATACTGTAAAATTGACCCTTTAAAACTGTACAGGCTAGTGTTTTTTAGAGCAATCACAGAACCATTGTGACAAATTAATCTTTGTGGCAATCACCACAAATGTTAATTCTGGAACACTTTCAACTCCTGCACAACACTCCCTCCTCATCCTGCTACCCACCTCCACCCCTGCCCCGGCTATCACTGATCTACCCGCTGTCTCTAGGGATCTGCCTGTTCTGGATGTTTGACGTAGATGAAATCGTACACGTGGTCTCCTGTGACTGTGTTCTTTCCCTTTGTAAGGTGCTTTCAGGGCTCACCCACATTGCTGTTGCAAGTATTGTGTCAGTTCCTCTTGGTGGTGAGATTGTTTCTCAGTTAATTTTCCATTACAATGATACTGCATTTTGTGTATGTGTCATTTAATAGGCTCTTAGATTGTTTCCAGGTTTTGCCATAATGAATGAGGCTGCCATAAATATACATGTGTAAGTTTTTGTGTGAATGTATATTTTCATTTGTTTTGGGTATATATTCACTTGTGGGATTGCTGGATCACATGGCACATCTATGTTTAACATTTGGACAAACTGCCACGCGTTTTCCTAAGTATCTGCCCCCGTTAGCATCACACAAGCAGTCTTTACGTGCGGGCTCTAATTTCTAAACATCATCAACACTTACTTTTCTACATTTTGGGGGGGGGGTGAATGTTAGCCCTCCACATGAATTTGAAGTGATATTGCATTGTGGTTTAGAGCTGCAATTTCCTACTAACTAGTGGTACCGAGCGGCATTTCCTGTTCTTATTGACCAATCTGCCTATCTTCTTTGGAGAAATGCCTTTTCAAGTCTCTTGACCATTTTTAAATTGGATTATTTGTCTTTTTATGGTTGAGGTTTTGAGTTCTTAATATATCCTGGATGCTAGTGCCTCCTTGATATGTGATTTGCAAATATTTTCTATCAACCTGTGTCTTTTCAGTTTCTCGATAATGCCCTTTAAAGCAGGAAAGTTTTTAATTTTGATGAAGTTCACTTTTTTTCTTTTGCTTATGCTTAGGATGTCACATCTAAAACCATGTACAACCTAATCTTCCTACATTCGTTTTCACCTTCTAAAATTATATGTTCGTATCTTATAAGCCCACTGACACAGTTTTGTAAGTATTGCTCTATGCAGTGATCATTTAAAACAGAAAAACAAAAGAGTTACAAACAAAAATATAGCATTTTTCATAATTTCTACATAGTTCTTTTACTGGTGCTTTCTATTTCTTTGGATTCAAGTTACAATCTAGTGTTCTTTCCTTTTTTTTTTTTTTTAAAGATATTTATTTATTTATTTGACAGACAAAGATCGCAAGTAGGCAGAGAGGCAGGCAGAGAGAGAGGAGGAAGCAGGCTTCCTGCTGAGCACAGAGCCCGATGCAGAGCTCGATCCCAGGACCTTGAGATCATGACCTGAGCCGAAGGCAGAGGCTTTAACCCACTGAGCAACCCAGGCACCCCTCTAGTGTCCTTTCCTATCAGCCTGAAGGACTTATTCAGTATTTCTTGTCGGACAGATCAGCAAGGAAGAATTATTTTTGTTTTTCTTGAAATGCCTTAATTTCTTCATTTCTTCAAGGAGAATTTAGCTGGATGTGGATGTCTTGGTTGACAATCATTTTTCTTTTTGACAATTTGAAGATATTATTCCACAGCTGTCTGACTTCCATAATCTCAGACAAGAAGGTTTTGCTCATCTTATTGAGGAGCGCTCTCTCTCTCTCTCTCTCTCTCTCTCTCTCTCTCTCGCTTTTCTTTTTTTTTTTTTGAGAATGAGAGGGAGGGGGATGGAAGGGCAGAGGGACAGAGAGAATCTTATGCAGGGTCTATGCCCAGGAAGGAGCCTGATGTGAAACTTGATCTTATGATCCTAAAATCATGATCTGAGCCGAAGTCAAGAGTTGGATGCTTAACTGAATAAACCACCCAGGAACCACTTACTGAGGATCTCTCTCTCTTTTTTTTTTACTTTTTTATTTTTTTTAAAACTACATTTTTTTCCCAAGATTTTTAAAAAAAATTATTTGACACAGAAAGAGAGGTCACAAGCAGGCAGAGAGGCAGTCAGAGAGAGAGGGAGAAGCAGGTTCCCTGCTGAGCAGGGAGCCTGATGTGGGGCTGGATCCCAGGACCCTGGGATCATGACCTGAGCTGAAGGCAGAGGATTAACCCACTGAGCCACTCAGGTGCCCCAATCTCTCTCTCTTTAATAAAGATTTTATTTATTTAATTGACAGAACAAGTGAGAGAGAACAAGCAGGGGGAGCAGCAGAGGGAGAGGGAGAAGCAGACTCCCTGCTGAGCAGGGAGCCTAATGCGGCACTCAATCCCAGGACCCTGGGATCATGACCTGAGATGAAGCAGCCCCTTAACTGAATGAGCCACCCAGGCATCCTGAGGGTCTCTTGTATGTGAAAAATCAATTTTCTCTTGCCACTAAAGATTTTGTCTTTGTCTTTGTCAGTAGGTCTATGATGTGTTTTGGTGTGGATCTCTTCGGGTTTATTCTTTTTTTTTTTAAATTTAAAAAAGATTTTATTTATTTATTTGTTTATTTATTTTTATTATGTTCAGTTAGCCATTGTGTAGCACATAATTAGTTTTTGATGTAGTGTTCCATGATTCATTAGTTACGTATAACAACTAGTGCTCATCAAAGTTCAGGGTCAGATGGCTTCCTGGGGGAATTCTACCAAACATTTAAAGAAGAAATTTTACCCATTCTACTGAAGCTGTTCTTTGAGTTTATTCTACTTGTAGTTCATTGGGCTTCTTGGATATGTAGATTGATATTTTTATTCACATTTGGAAAGTTCTAACTTCACTCTTCAAGCATTTTTCTGCCCTTTAGCTTCGTCTTCTTCTGGGACTCCATTACGTGTGTGTGTTGCACTTGGTCCTGTGTCACAAGTCTCTGAGGTTCTGTTCATTTTTCTTCATTCTATTTTCTTTCTGTTCCTCAGACAGTATAATTTCTAATGACCTATATTCAAATTTATTATTTTTTTTTCTTTTACCAGCTCCAATCTATTGTTGACCCCTTCTTTTTTTTATCACTTTTAAAATTTATTTTCAGCATAACAGTATTCATTGTTTTTGTACCACACCCAGTGCTCCACCCCTTCTGATGAATTTTTCATTTCAGTTACTGTATTTCTCATCTAGAGAATTAGTATTTGGTTCCATACATGATACCTATTGTTTCATCTATAGTCTTGATTTGGTGAGACGTTGTTGTCATATTTTCCTTTAGTTTTTAATTGTTTCTTTGTTTTCTTTTCTTTTAGAGAGAGGAAGAGAGCAAGTGTGCAAGCGTGAGTGGGCGAGGGACAGAGGGAGAGACAGAGAATCCCAAGCAGGCTCCAAACTCAGTGTGGAGCCTGCTGCAGGTCTCTATCCCATGATCCCAAGATCATGACCTGGGGCCAAATCTAGAGGCAGATGGTTGACCGAATGAGTCACCCAGGCATTCTTTCCTTTAGTTTTTTAGACATGGTTTAGTGTTTTTAATATATTTAGAATAACTGATTTAAAGACTTTATCTACAAAGTTTGAAATTTGTGCCTCTTCAGAAACATTTTCTTTTGACTGATTTTTTTCTGTCAGTTGCATGTTTTCCTGTTTCTTTGTATAGACCATACATTTTTGGTTAAACTCAATATTTTATCCTTTCTGATGGAGGCATAATATTCCATTGAATATATGGACCATTACCTTCTTTATTTATATCAATTTATAATTTATTTATATTTATTTATTTTATATATATTTATATTTATTGATTTATTTATATCATAGACTGGACTGGAGCAGATTATTTTGAGTGAAATAAGTCAAGCAGAGAGAGTCAATTATCATAGGTTTCACTTACTTGTGGAGCATAAGAAATAACATGGAGGACATTAGGAGAAGAAAAGGAAAAGTGAGTTGGGGGAAAATCGGAGGGGGAGATGAACCATGAGAGACTGTGGACTCTGAGAAACAAACTGAGGGTTTTGAAGGGGAGGTGGGTGAGGGATGTGTGAGCCTAGTGGTGGGTATTGAGGAGGGCACGTATTACATGGGGTGCTGGATGTGGTGCATAAACAATGCATCTTGGAACACTGAAAAAAAATAAAACCTCAATGTTTTAGACAATATATTGTAACACCTCTGTTATCAGATTCCTCCACCTTCCCAAAGACATTGTTGTTTCTGGTTTGTTGATGTTTTG